CAAGTGCGGACGGTGCTGCTGGTGATTAACGACCCAGCATTCCCTGGAGAAGGTAGGAAGATGGGATATCAGTTTCATCCATCAGGGACCAGAGCCCTTGCACTGACAGGTATGACCTGACCGCTGTAACTGAGCTGCCCCATGCAGCCCTTCTGCAGGTTTCACACACAGCTACAGCCTGGGAGCAGCTGGGAATATTTGGGCTCTGAGAGAGCCGGTCCTGCCCCTCCCCACGACACTTCCATTGCCCAGCGGCCAGCAGGTAGGTTTCAAGGAGCACAGGGCACAGGCGGCCTGCGGGAGGTCCCTGCCCTGCGGTGCGGAAGGAAAGACAACCGTGTAAACAGGACGCTGCGTGAGCAGACGGCTTTGTGAATGGCTCAGGACATTTCCGCCTACTGGGAGAGGGAGTTTATTCCACAACCCTACAGGAGCTGAGAATAATTGGACCCTGAGAAGTAAGGTTTCGGCCAAAGAGAGCCAGTCTCTCAGAGTTAGCGTTCCTAGAGGAAGCATGTCTGTGGGCAGCCCCTTTGCAGGATGGTGTAGCACTTCCTGCAGACAGCCCAGAGCTGCGGATACCCAACAGCCTATGCAGGTTCTCCTCATCACTGCTGCCTTGGTGTCAAAGGTTTCGCCTGTCCTCGTGTGTGGGTCTCAGCAGACTCCAACACCATATGTAGGCTTTGCCAGGACACTGCCGTTCAGGGAGGAGAACTTGCCAGGTCTGCTGGAGCCTTGCCCAAGCTGCCTCCGCTTCCTCACAAGCATTTGTTTTCTGCACAGCTGAGGACTATGGCACACACCAGGTGCTCCTGTACAGCTCCAAGAGAGTGGGCCTGCAGACATCAGGAAGGCCTCTGCTGGAAACTGTAGAACAGCTGAAAATATGGCTTGCTCACCTTGCTCGTCCACTACCAGTTCCATAGCAGAAATGATGAAGAAGTACTTCATTCTGCTTCATCAGGAATAATGTTCAACACTGAGCACAGGCAAGTGACGGTCCGAGACACTAAGAAGTACATCTCAGAGAACTACATACACAATGCTGCTTCTGCTGATGTTGCGATAAGGGGAAAGCCACGTTTGGAATTCAGCACCGTAACTCATCGTTGTGCACTAACAGAGAGCGAAGGAATAGAACAAGGGAAACATGAAGAAGGCAGCACCACCCAAACAGAAAGCCTCGCGTGCCTCTGCACATGGAAACGGCCTACGCTTACCTGTGCCACTTACTCGGGTGTAAGTGTTGGTTACGTCTCACATTTCATAGAAAAGCAGTATGCCATGAACACCCACAGGGCAAGGACCAACAGTACTTCCAGGCAAGTTAGTAGAGAAAAGAGCTGTCACAACGAGGATTAAAAGGATACTGAGGATGAGGAAGACTAACCTAAACTTGCTGCTGCTTTAGTCAACTACCTTCAGGATACACTTTATAGACTTGCTAATAAAGACTCCGGTATTTAGGAAGAAGTGAAAGTGCTACAATGGAACGAAGCAGCAGTACAGACAGAAAAGTCATCAACTGTAAGATGTCAGATGATCCAGATGAGGCTACAAAGAAATGAACATCCCTGAGGTTGGTAAACTGTGACCAACTCGTCTCCTACAAAGCCCAACTTCATTTAAAATCTCCCAAACTAGGGGAGATAACTACTTCTCTTGAAAAAGGAGATGACAGTATCAGCTAGGACAGTCAGCTAGAGGAGATAACTACTTCTCTTGAAAAGGGAGATGAGAGTATCAGCTAGGACAGTCAGCTAGAAGAAAGGGTTGTGTTGGGACGGATTATAAATCTGCTCAGCTTCACAGAAACATCCACATTTCTGAAAGCTTATCTGACAAAGCTTATCAAGTTTCCTTCCAATTTTTGCACGTTCACTGCAGTGAGACAATAAAGTAATTTTGAACAGGGAGTACCTGCCGGGAAGTGGAAAAGCCTGAATTTAATATTATACATTTCAGTACAAAAGAATGTAAAATCATAAAGCTGATTATCAGATGGTTGATTTTACTTACGTATTTAGCCATGACACAGAGAAAACCACTAATGAATTACATTCATTTCTGTTATGAGGGACCTGTATGTGCTTTCTGTGTTACTGAGCTTCCCAGAAAAAGGTTAGTCCTTTGCGAGCTACACATCACCGCTGCTTTCTCACGTTTCTCAGAAAATACACTCTGTACACTGACAGGTGAAGACTCAAGCATGTACCAGGCTGCCAAATTCAATCAGGCAGAACTATAAGCAGCCTCCCTCCAGGGCTGCTTCTTTGAATTAAAAAGTTTGCAGAGGTCAACAACCTTTCTGCCCCAGGTTTTGTTGTAAGCTGAGGAGGTTTTATACCAGCCTGTCAGTCTACTCAACTGGAAGTTATTAGTGCTCTCTGCTACAAAAGAAACCTAACTCAAGCCTTAAACATTTTATAGGGTTAACAACTGTTGGGGGATCCCACAAATGAAATTAGCCAATGTGGAAAACCAAAAGAAATCTATCATCAATATCAACTCAAACCACTTACAGATTGCTTATAGATGGACTAAATTAAAGCCCTCAACCTCACCAAAAACACCAATTTGTTTCTGAACAGTATTTAGAGGATGGATGTGGTTAGTGTCTGGAGTAATGTAGCTACATTTCATCTGAAGGCATTTAAACAGAAAATTCACTACATCGTTCAAACTTCAGACATTTTCATGAACCGAAAAATTTCCCATGTAGCATGCTGAAGAGCGTGTTTCTTTTCCTTCTTAAAATCTTCAGCGGGCAATAGATCTTTTTAAACTGTTCTAGCTTCCCTCTGCCCCCTGAAGGAAACGCAAACACGCTCTCTGTGATCCATTCTCAAGGAGTATCTGTATTTTTCCAAAATACCCATGAACGTCAACGCAAGCAAAAGTATGGAAAGGGAGCAAAGGCACCCTCTTTTAGCCTTTTGTGAGCAAAACCACTGCTGGACCTGAAAGAGAAACTGAGCCAAAAGAGGTTGTTCAAGCACGTAATTCCAAGGGAAATCAACTCAGAGCATGCAAAGCTTTACAAACAGAAAAAGTACTTTTTTTAGTTCTTGTGACTGGGAGAAAAAAAGAACAGTTCTGCTGAAATCAACAGAGCACACCCACTAAACGTCATTTCAACTGCACCCCTCATGACTGAGAATCAATTTTTCCCAGGAATAGGGGAGGGATACTTACACAGCCTCCAGCAAGGACCTCTGCAGGGAATGGAATGGAACCATCTTTCTTAGTAAATTTGTCTCTGACAAAGTCATTAACCTAATAAAGATAGAATAGATTACACACGATTTTAAGTTATTTTTCCTCCTAACTAATATATATCAAGTACATCTGTAACCATGTGTATTAGAGTGCTTGTAAGTGGTCATCTTTCACACAGTTTAGGAAATAAATCCTGTGCGTGTTAACAAACAAAAGGATGCCAGGAAAAAAAAAAAAAAGATACGTACAGTTAGCTTAATAGCCTTTTCTGGAGCAACACCTATCAGCTGTGGTAACAAGCCTATAGAAACAAAGACATCATAAGGCAACATTATCTTCCTAATACAGGAACTAGTACTTTGTAAGAGCTCTACAGAAATGCCCTTCTGCACATGGGATATCCTTTGATGTGGATGGCATTTATGTATGGGATGCTGCTAGAGCACTGCGTATTCGTAACAGTATGATTTTATATTAAGATTTCTGTTGGAAATGGTAATGAAAAGCTGACCAGCTCTACCTTCTGCAACCAAGCCAAGCCTCATGATGTTGCTGTACAGAGGAAAAAAAGGAGAAGGACTGAACACGCACCTTGGATACGCCTACTGCATAAGAGTTCATTTGACTTTTTTAGCCCCTTAGTATCATTTTCCCGTAAAGCTTGCAATTACTTTCTAAAATAGGAGAGTAATTGTGAGATACACACATGACTGATAAATTATCAACTCACTTCTACTTGACTCAGTAACCTGAGTTTTCTGAAGGCTCCGGTCAACTAAGGATATAAAGGATTTTCTCTTGTTCAGTCCCACATGGTAGCATGAACTTCTTTAAACCCTATTACTATGAAGTATTTTTTATCTCACCAAGAGGAAGCATTAGCAGACAGAAACCGATTTTGAAAAGGCACTTGCTCCTGGAAAATAGCTACTATCAAAATGAACAGCCATTTGACAAAAGCACATACACCTTTCTAGGAACTAATAGGTTTAAGAAAAAAATCAGTAGATGGCAGTCTTAACTTCCTAACGTACACGATTATAACAGCATCTGTTATTTTTAAATCCATTTTCTCTACCATCATTTTGGCGTACGTGTAGATTCTAAAACTTAAAAGGCTTATTTATATTAGAAGTGGTCACTTCCTAATGTTATTCCATGGTTATGGAATATCAATTTGTCAAAAGTGTTTGCCAGTTAACTAACAAAAAAAAACGCAGCAACAAAACTACACCAGTGCAGCTTTCCACTATTCAGTAAGTGGAAAGAATAATAGCTAAAAATTCATAAAAAATGTTCAAAATTCCCAGAAGTAGTCAGCCTGCAGAACTTTTATACTAATTCCTTGAAAGGAAGCTCAGAGCAAATGTACCTAAATACAAAATGCAGCAGTTAATATATGCAGTGTAGTGTTTTCTTCCAACATAGTACTTTCTGTGAGATTTACAGACTCGCTATGCTGAGGAAAGGTAGTTATTAAATACAAAGAAAGGTTGACAAGAAGAAAAAGAAATTCTGCCCTCCCAGCCTGAATTTCTGATCTACCATGAAAAGAGAATCCAGCTCTGCAGTACCGCCCTGGTTTCAGCTGGGATAGAGTTAATTTTTCTTCCTAGTAGCTGGTGTAGTGCTGTGTTTTGGATTTAGGATGAGAATAGTGTTGATAATACACCGAAGTCTTAGTTGTTGCTGAGCAGTGCTTACACTAAGGACTTTTTAACTTCTTACACCACTGTGCCAGCGAGGACGCTGGAGGGACACAAGACGCCGGGAGGGGACACAGCCAGAACAGCTGACCCAAACTGTCCAAAGGGATATCCCATACCGCATGACATCATGTTCAGCATCTAAACTAGGGGGAAAATCGGCCAGGGCCGCTGCTTGGGAACTGGCTGGGCATCAGTCAGCAGGTGGTGAGCAATTGCATTGTGCATCACTTGTTTTGTATGCTGTTTTATCGTTAGCGTTGTTATTACTATTTCCCTTCCTTTCCTGTCCTGTGGAACTGGCTTTATCTCAACCCATTAATTTTACTTCATTTTTTTCGTGTCTCTCCCCAGGGCAAGGGGATTGAGCAAACAGCTGTGTGATATTTAGCTACCTGCCAGGGTAAACCACGAGAAGTGCCTACATTTTAAACCCCAAAACTACCAGACAAAACAATCCACCCCACCCCTCCTTTTATGCAGCTGAGCTTAAAGGGCACACTCATTCAGTGCCAGAGAACCTGGGACCCTGCACCATCTAGTGAGTGACCTTAGAAGTTCCTTCATTAGTTCCAAAGTTGGATGCCAGGATCCAAAAGTGTCATAATTCTCTTGACCAAAAATTTTAAGTTTTTATTTAACAATATGAGCTTTGCAGCATGCATTCAGATCTGTTTTTTAAACTGTGGTAGACTTGGTAGAATGGTAGACATTGTACCATAACAATACAATTGGCATAATCCCGTTCAGGAACACAAGAACACAGTAAGAGGCCCACAGTCAACTCCATAAATGTTTTTGTCATTTAGTTTAATTTAGTTCCACAGACCACCCAAGTCTATGAGTCCAAGATCTCAGTAACATGCTGACCATTAGGTGTAACATTTTCAAATCAACTGCCTGAACTTCTTATGCTAAACTATCATAAAGAGTTATTAAACTGACTATTAAGAAGTTTAACAAGCTGACAATCTTTCAAACAAGACATTTTTTCTCAAGAACAAAGCACTGCTTTAACTCATCAGTGGACTCCTCCTTGACTGCAAAGTGTTTGAGAAAGGTTCCTCTACTCACTTGCACAGCAAAATCCTGCAAGATTACCACAAAGTCTTTAGCTAGAATCCACAGACGCTCACATGCAAACACTTCTCAGACACTGTCCTTGAAGACACTGTCTGGTGTCTTTGCAGACAGAACACATTACAGAGCAGAAAAAAGGGCTGCGACCATCGCAGAAGTGAGTGACTTTGCTCCAACTAAAAAAAGAAGTGCACCAGTTAATACCTTACTGACCCTTACGGAAACTGTGCACTTCATTATGTGCAATTACAATTAAAAATGGAGAATTCAACTAAACACTAATTTCAGAGGACTGGCTAGCATGTACCCCCCATGTAAGTCACCTGACTGATGTGATAAAAACCCTTTCAGAACCCTCTCCTAAGGCAGAACAAGAGATAAGACAGCTTTCAGTCTGATAAAACTGATGAAAAGTTGCTTTGAATTCTTAATGGGTATTTTTTTAATTGCAACTGTTACGAGTTCCACTGTCGATATTTTAAAGTAAAATAGAGCAGGGTGATACAACAGCAGGATGTGTTTTCTTGCTCACAGAATAAAATCATAAACCAAGTCCCACTACTTGCAAAAGTATGAGGCGTAAGATCTGGCATCCAGTTTAACAGGTGTGTTTCAAAATGAGTGTCTTCTGTCTCTTAACAAAAAAATATTTGCAGTAAAATGTCTTTTTATTCCTCAAATGCTAATCTGCTCCTTACGTTCGCCCCCAGCCAAAAGTTAAAATCCTCAATTTGTGAGATTACAATATCTACCACAGCACCCATATCCCAGAAATTAGGACTTTAAACAACCTAAGCAGCAAGGAGCAAATCAGTAATAACAAAAATGCCCAGTTTGTCAGCATTTGTTTATGATGAACAGTATTCAAGGGAAGATGAATACTGAACTCTATGAAACAGTAGCAAAATCGTATATGATATCAATCTTCCTGGTTTTCCCATAAGAAATTAGCTGTTGAGGTATTAAAAAAAAAAAGGAAGGAAAGAAGAAAATCCCCAACTTGATATATGTATATTTTTTATTCACTTACCTCTGTAAAGACCAAAAAAGCCTTCAAAACGCAAAACCTTTTTAAAGCAGTCAAAGCTGTTTTTATACATCAGCTCTCCCACGACTGAACCAGAGGTGCGCTGATTCTGCATACGAGTTTTCACCAGGTCTATGGGATATACCGCAGTAGCACCAACAGCTGTAAGAAAGCATCTAAAGTATTATTTCTGCAACATCACTGTTGGTGTAGTATGTAATTTTTATGATTATTTTCTACAGCATTTATTTACACACATTTATTTCTGATGTGTTGGAAATAAGAAAAGACGACACTGAAAGTCTAGGAAAAAGTCTCAAGGGAAATTACATTATTACATAAACCAAGTTGCGCTGAACAAAGAAAACTAGCATGAATTGCCAGTAAGGAAATCTGTTACTGAAGTAGAGTTTCAGTGGACCATGGAGGGATACTAGAACAGAAGTGATAGGAGAAGAAAGGGAATGGCACAACTGAAAATGGTGCCACCCTACAACGCTTCATGTGTATAAACAAGAAATGCACCTCAGATGAGACCAAGCAGTCTGGCAAGACAGCGGTAAACTAGCCCAAGCTTGAAAACAGAAGTCAGAAATATTACTTACCTCCAGCAATTGAGCCCAAAGTGAACCTGTAAGCTGACTCAGCTACCTGGAGCCAGATAGGCCTGCCTAACTCTCCAAAAGATTGCTGTGTGAGGAAAAGAAAAAAAAGCAGCTTGGAAATCTGCATGGGAAAACAAAGATTTCTGTGAACTGGTTTTTATAAAGTGACAGAAAGAACTCGTAAAAATTGGTAGCTTTATGTTAAGGAGAAAAAAATTAAAAAATTATTATATAACTTCCATTACGCCCAATGAATGAAGCACATTTTTCCAATACTCCTCTCAGAAAATATTCTTCCTAGTGTAACTGAAACAACTACAGTCACAAAAAAGTAGACAGAAATTCCGATGAACTTTGTTACTTTCCATTTTGTTGCCTTTGAATTTGTAAGGCATGGAACCCTCGTTTGGCTCAAATAAAATTCAGTATCTCAAAACGAATTCACTAGGTCACAGACAGGATCTATCAGCAGGGGATATACATTAAGATTACATATACATTAATACATAGCATAAAGATGGTATTTCATGTCAAGCAAAAAGTCAGTATTCCACCAGACTTTTTCAGGCAGTTGATAAGTTACAGACACAATGATGACCTCACTCACTTCAATCACATACGCTACTATAAATGCATTTGTGGTCTAAATAAATATAAGTCCGCACAGAAAATACTTGCAGAGACTCATAATCGTATTATGAAATCATTATGAGAAACAAGGTAACTGATAAACAAGATGTTAAGTGTTCAAAAACTTGCACTGTAAAGTATGCAAGATGGGCCAAATTTTCTTCCAAACATAAAAAGGGCATTAGAGAAGAATTTATATTATGCAGTATAACTTGCCTAGGTTACATCAGCGTGAAATTCTGTATTAAAGCAGATACTAAAGCCCATCTCCCAAACACAAAGCTGTTTTTCTTAAAAGCCCCCTGCACCATTAGCAGGTGCGCTCCTGACAGCGGAGCTGGGACACACACAGACCCCAGGCAGCTAGAGGAGGCTTGGCTCGGGTGCACATTATGAATTCTCCACACAGACCATCACTTGCACTTTCACAGCTAACTCACCACAGCTACCTAACTAGGTTACTCACTCTCCAGAGCTCACTGAAGCAAGGGATGTAAGAATGCCAAGTACTCTGGCACTCGGAGCCCACTGAAGGTCTGCAAAGTGGAACATCCACAGGAAGAGGGCATGTCCCGCAGTGTGAGCTACTCTGGCCCATACTGCACCGCATGTGCAAAAACCTGCCTTTATTGCATAATGGTACACGGTAGGTACACAATGCAGGACAAAAGCGATGGGATTAAGATGGAATCGTTACTGTAAAAAACCATGAACTGTATTTTATACGGCTTTTCCACAGAGAAAAAGATACAGCTACCACCATTTCCTTCCACAAGGCATTTTCCTCCCCCCAATAATATAGCTTAACGAGAAGAAAAGAGAAACTCTGGGTAGCACCAGAATTATAAATTGCACATGTGAACCAGTATAAAAAAAAAAAAAAGGCATAAAGCAAACATATTCTTTACCAGCAAATGGAAACAACAAATCCAAAGAATGTCCTCGCTAGTCCCAAACCACTAAATTTTCCTCATCCAAAAAAAGAATCACAATTAAAACAAAATAGCCACAAAACCAAATTCTAAATTACAGAGATCTCTCTTTAGATTCATGTAAATGAAAGCCACATGCAACAATACTACCCCAAAAAGGCATAGAAACAGTACTGGTTCTTCATTCCACAAAAATTTTCTCCTAGTTTAGTGCACCTGCTTCCTTTTAGCTGTTTTAAGGTTATTCTTTTTCTTCTAAGCTCCACAGAGTTCTCATCAAAATTCAATCATTCAGACATTAATCTTAATGAATATGTCACTGGATGTTAAAAATCAAATTCTTTGTGAAGGAAATGGCCCCTTTATGTTATTAAGTAAGTGTCCACAAAGTTTGCAGTTTACTTGTGTGTTCAGATGGATATGTAAATGAATGTGATTAATGCTATAGCTTTCAAATCATGAATATTTATAAACAGAAAATTACTGTAGCTGTCATCCTCATAGGATATTCAGCTGCTAGGCTTTAAGAAAATCTTACACAATGAAAAAATTGACAGTAAAGTAAACATGGATGAAAGCAGGCTAATTTCCATTTTCCCCAACTGTACAAAGATAGAGTGAGTTTATGTAAAAATTTAGATTTCCTTTAAGAAGAAATTTTAAAATCACACAAAAGTGATTACAGACTTGTTTTCATTTTCCAGGGACAGCTGGACCTCACTGGGATGATATTGTCTCTTTCATTTTATCAAAACAGTTAAATGCGGTAACATAGGGTTAACATACGATAAGGTCTAGTAAAACGCTGTTACTCATAAAACAAAGAAAACGAAATTACTTTGCTTTCTGCTGTGTTCTCTTAACACAGAATGTAGACTAGAGTATAATCTGTTCTAGTGATGAGTGAAACTTTAATCAACGAGCTCATTTTATAACAGTGCCAAGCTACAAAGGTAAGTCTGAGGTGTAAAACAAAAGTAGTATTTTGTCTACTCAGAAAAGTGAGTGCCACAAAGGCACCAATTAAACCCAAAGCTGGCAGTTTGGCATGTAATTATAAAACTTCATTAAAAATATTCCTCATGAGTCTGGATACACGTTACACAGGTTTCTGCACGCCACTAGCCAATCCATTCCGTCACTCTTGCCTTGAGGAATCCACAGGAAGGCTGTTCTGGACATTCAGTCCATTGGCTCAGGTACGCCTAATCGCCTGAGGACAAGAGAGCGGTGACATGAAGAACAGACACTGTACTTCAGACCCATTTGTTTGGAAGAGAACTGAGTGATCAAATGCACCTGTAGTAACAGCAACCAAAATACACTCCAAGTCCCACATATGGAAGACTTGCTGTATTCCGTATAGGACAATTTTTCAACCACAGCAGTTGAACTAATTCAAGATTTTCCTGTCACTGATACATATCCTAGATGTTGTTGTGGATATCACTCCTTAAAGGAACCTCTTTGCAATATGCATGAGAAGTGAGATGAGAGATAAAAGGCTTTATTAATGCACGCTTTCACTTTCAGACAGACCCTGGGACACCCCCCCATCCACTGGCAAATACAGGCCATCCACGTGGGGAACAAGGCACAGGTGGTGATGTCACTGCGCTGACGCTTTACCTCAAACCGCCCTGCAGCAGTACTGTCTGTCACTGGCATCACCAGGGTAAAGAATCTGAACTTCACCTTATGGGAGACAGCGTAGCTTGGAAAGGCGGACAAAGTTATGGCTGCCAGTGGCATGGCCTCCTGCC